TTTTGAAGAAGGGGAGGGAATGACCCCTTTTCTTTCTCTTCTTTTCTTTTTGCTTTAATCGTCGGCTCGCTTAGGTGGGCCTCCTTTTATCTTTTCAGTCTTAGTCGGCATAAGCGATTGCGGATCGAAAGCGAATGCTTCTTTTATTGCTAGTTATTATATATAAAATACAATTTAAAACATTACTTTTTAATTTACAATCGTATAATTCAATTGTATTTCATTAATTATAAGCCGAAAACGTATTTATATACCGATAGTTTGATATTTTAAATCGATGAAAAGCTTGCTATTAAGCAGCAAGCTAAATTTTTTTTTTAAATCTAGTGCAAAATAATAATGAATAACCGATAAAATTTAAAACAGAAATGCTGAATATCGTAAAGGAATCGATTTACGCAAAGCTAAGCGCGAGCGTAAAAAGATTATACGAAAACGCTACAAGCTTAATTATTAAAAACGACGATTTAATACTCATTCGAATTCTCGATTCGAAAGAGATTTAGTAGATGCAATAACTTCTTGAACGTCAAATTTTGCGGCCTCGTAAAAATACTATTCGACTAATTCTCTTTCAACTTGAACTTTTTTTCGATAATAATGATTTAATAATTATAATCGATATTATCGGAGACCTTTCTTTAAAGCAAATTTTTTTTTCTTAATATTGATATCGATAGCGATAGCTTTAATTTTAATAGTAATAAAGATTCAAACGATTCGTTGCGTAAGGTAAGAAATAAATCAAATTCTAATAAAAATAGTGATCGATAATTAAATGTTTTATCGGATGATACGATTTCAATTGTTTCGGAAGACGATGATATACTAGTAGATTAAATATTTATGTAAATATTTTTTAGTTGTAATAGTAAATGCTATAATATAAAAGAATCTCTAATATATTCGAAAAATCCGCATTCGCTTCCGATCCGCAATCGCTTACGCCGACTAAGACTGAAAGGCTGAAAGGAGGCCCACCTAAGCGAGCCGACGATTAAATATTATTGGTTTTGGTTCTGGTTTTAGCTTTAAGTCTGGCTTTAGGTCTGGCTTTAGTTCTGACTTTGGGTCTAGGTCTGGCTCTAGGTCTAGCTTGAGCTTTAGCTCTGATATGATGTAATATAATATAATATGATATGATATAACATAACATAATATAATATAATACGATATATTATAATAAAAGGCATATATACGTATATATAATTATATATATAATTGATGCGAAGAAAGGCAAGATGGATATTAAAAAATAAACATTGAAAGATGGATAATGGAAGATGGATAATAAATAGTAAATAGTAAAAGACAAAAGATAAGATGAATCCTTTGTGAAGTAAAAAAAAAAAAAAGAAAGAAAGAA